CTCGTCTCTACTTAGTCTCGATTTACACGCAAAAAAAACCTTCGCCGCACGTTCCACACGTGGGAGAGAGTACCGCTCCGAGTCTTTATTGCAGGATCTTTATCGCGATAACGGAGACGTTCCACGTCCGGCGCGAATACACGGTCGAAACGCAGGCAAAAAGTGGTACAGGTATTCGAAATACCGGCGACGCACGCCGGGGCATCTTCGCCGGGGCAGATTCGACCGCGATCGCCCGCCGCGAGTGCCGTGCGACGTAGACGACGTTTGGCGATTTGGAACAATGCTTAGAAAAATATGCTAATCTCTTCCTCGCGCGCGACCCCCTCCTCCGTCCCTCCGGACTCCGCTCTCCTGTTCGGTTTTCTCTCCGCGCGAGTGTATAAGTACTCCGCTAACTAGCCCATTAAACTAACTTGGTTGGATCATTACGAACAGCATTAAGTCACTCTTGAAGCTTCACGAATACACTACTTTTTCTCGCAACTGTTAATTTTATGCCTCTCGTCATAGATTGTAACTTATATCGTCATGAATAACGCAAAGCGAACTGCGGTTTAACAATTATCTCATTGAACTGTCAAATAATTTGATATTTCCACGCAAATCGATACTGCTCGTAACATCTCCATCTGCCGCTTCGGCTCTCTGCGATACACCGAAAAATCACCTTACGTGTTCAGCTTTATTGCACACAGAGACACAAAAAAAGAATATAATAGCGACTTTCGAAAAAGGGAACTTAGAGAGAGTTCTATCATGTAAATTAACTTAAGACAATCTACTCGGACGATCGCTAATTATCGTTGAATTGACATTCTTCGATGCTTACAAAGAGTCAAGCGTTGAGAGAAAACTCAGTCCTGCGACTATCGTAAAAGAACCTGAACGTACGGGGGTGGCCGTAAAAATAGCGCTGCTAAATTTCCTTCGACATTCACGATTCACGAATTATTGTACGGAATTCAGCCTCGAACATGATCCAGAGAGATGATGCTTGTGCTTTTGGCACGGGACGTATACAGTCGACACAAGCGATTTGACATATGCGCGACGACGCGTTCTTGCCGGTTCGTATTCAATTCAAGCTCGCTCGATGCAGTTCGATAAAATTACTTTTAAGACTCTTCTCTTCGTTTTTTTTTTTTTTTTTTTTTTTATAAATTCCACGCGCGACGGTCATGGCAATGCGGATTTCTCTCGCCAAAAGTAAACGCTAGAACTTCGTCTTGCACGGTGATCACGTGTGCGTGTACTTATATGAGAATATATTAATGTACAGTATACAAAATATGAATGGCTATTCGATACAGGATAGAGGTACTTCTCCCCAGGGTTCCCTTCTAACACACAAAAGCTACGAGTGATTCAGCGTTAGTTTGCAACATTCAAGCAATGCTCAGGTATAATATTCTTATCACAATATTGTCATACATCTCAAATTGTCTCACTTACACACACTCTCTCTCTCTCTCTCCCTCTCTCTCATACTCTCTTCTTAAAATTATGATACAATAATTTTTTACGTAATTTTTTGTAACAGACATCTCTTAATTTGTAAATTATTTAGAATAAAACATCGTCGTGTACAACAACGATAATAATTTGCTCACTCACATCAAATCACTCTCTCGTCAAATCTTTTATACATGTATATATATATATATATATATATATATATATATATATATATATACATTCT